TTTAGAATTACCTTAGCTTTGTTATTATGGCTAAAATGTTTCAATTTTATCTTTCCTGTTCCCCAATAATGCCTATGCCTAAAGCATCCATTTGGATGGTCTCTCCTTTTTTTTTTTTTAACATCATGGCCATGTGGGAGTGTTTTTAAACATGGCAGGGACTGAGAAGAAGTGGAAAGATTGGGAAACTCATTCTACAGTTCTCTCTTATAGAGCCTGGCCTGATACATTTTCTTTAGATACAGTACCTCTAAGTCTGCGATGCAATAGCAATTTTTCTTTTCATGGTTTAAGGAGGGTTTCCTGTAAATTCATCCAGTTTATGTTTGAACTTGGGAAGAGCTTATTTCAGAATATGAGAATTAGAAGAGTCTTTTCTTCCCAGTATATTTTCCATTCTAAATAACTCTCTGACTTGAGTGGCAGTTTTGGAACTTGCTGGCAAAGAAGAAATATCATTCTTATGTGCTGTATAGGATTAGAGCAAATAAAAAAAAAAAAATGCAGGGGTGCCTGGGTGGCTCAGTGGGTTAAAGCCTCTGCCTTCGGCTCAGGTCATGATCTCAGGGTCCTGGGATCGAGCCCCACATCAGGCTCTCTGCTCAGCAGGGAGCCTGCTTCCCACCCCCCCCACCCCACCCCCCACCCCCGCCCACTCTCTGCCTGCCTCTCTGCCTACTTATGATCTCTGTCTGGTGAATAAGTAAATAAAAAATCTTTAAAAAATTTTTTTTAAATAAATAAATAAATAAATAAATAAATAAATAAATAATTTTAAAAATGCAATAAATGTTCCCCCAAGGGCTCCCTTTGTAAGTATCAGTTTAGTTGGCTGGTTTCCTTATGTTTCTTCTCCCTGTTTTCCCCATAACATTCCCTGTAAACTCTGCCTGTCAATCCAATCCTCATTGCCTTCACTTTTAATACTTCAGTTGCTACATTTTACAAAATAAACCAGCCATGCTCAAGTGAGAGTCATGATTCACTCCATTTGTGGGAGAGGCTGAAACTGGATTTCTCTAACAGAAGTTAAACCAGAGCATGGTGAATAAGAAAGACTATGGGTTGATTATGGAATAGCCGTGGGTGGAATGGGGTCATTATGAGCTCCAAGTAAGTCTTCTTGTTCACTTCTTCATAAATAAGATCTGTCAAGGCTAAGATCCAAAGGGGATTTTTAAGTGCAAATCATGATTTTTGTAGAAAAGGACTCTTCCCTAGTTGCTAATACTTCACATGCTTAGAAAGCAAGTATTGATTAAGCTTCCACTGAACATTTACTAACATGTAATGTTGGCCTCTCTGGATTGTCACCCATCAGCTTTCTACTGGTTCAGGAACCTGTCTTCTATGCTTCCGTCATCTTGGCATTGACCATCCTATACTGAAATCACTACTTATTTCCTTAAGCTTCTTTGCATTCATTCATCCATTCGATCTATGGTTCTTAAGTATTTATTATGTCCTAGGCTCTATTTTAGGCAACGAGGCCAGTGTGTCCTCAACTTTGTCAAAACTGGCATCTAGATAGAAAAGGTAGTCAGTAGTATCTTGTATTAGTCAGCTCCACCACCACAACAAAATAGCATTTTTTTTAAGATTTTATTTATTTATTTGTCAGAGAGAGAGAGGGAGAGAGAGAGAGCAAGCACAGGCAGACAGAATGGCAGGCAGAGGCAGAGGGAGAAGCAGGCTCCCTGACGAGCAAGGAGCCTGATGTGGGACTCGATCCCAGGACTCTGGGATTATGACCTGAGCAGAAGGCAGCTGCTTAACCAACTGAGCCACCCAGGCGTCTCCAAAATAGCATTTTTTAGGTGGTTTTAAACAATAAAAATTATGTTTCTCACAGTTCTGGAGGCTCGAAGTTTAAGATCAAGGACTGGCTAACTCATTTCTGGTGAAGATCTCTTCCTGGCTGGTAGATGATTGCCTTCTCACTATGTCCTCACCCAGCCTTTCAGAGAGCAAGGTCTCTAGTGTCCCTTCTTATATGGACACTAATCCCATCAGATCAGGGCCCCACCCTGTTGACCTCATCAGTTTCTTCCAGAGAGGTTCCATCTCCAAATACAGACACATTGAAAGGACTTCAACATGTGCATTTTGGAGGAACATGAACATTCGGTCTATAACATACATAAAGAAATTTTTAAAAATCACTACTTTAGATGGTGATAAGAGTGATGGGAAAAAAAAAATCACAGGAGAGGAATAGAGAGCAAAGGTGGTGGAGATAGTGGTTGCTACTTTAGCTACAGACCTCTCTGAAGAAAGGAGATGTGAGACCAATAATGAGAAAGAGGTAGCCTTAGGGAGATTTGTGGAAATAAGCATTGCAGGTAGAGAGAATTACAAGTTTAGTGGCGCAAGACAGAAGTGAGAATGACAGAATCATGTGACGGAAGAAGGTCAGTGTGGCTGGAGCCTAGCTGGCTGATTTAGAGGGGTAGGAGAAAATACTAGAGAGGTAGGCAGTAGCCTGTTTGTGCTAACCAATACCAGAAATGCAAATTTTGTTTTCAATGAAGAGCCATTGGGAGATTTTAGGCTGATTAATGTACAGATAAGATAGAATTTAAGTGGCTCAGCAGAGAGTCTATGTAATGTTTTAGAGTCTTACCTATCTTTGGTACAAATAGTAAATGATCTATACATATATATATATACATATATATATATATTAAGTGAAAGGATGGATGTTCGCTTACACAGTAATTGATTTTGTTTGGAAGTCAGGTTTATTAGGTAGAAATTACATAGAGCATATATTCATTCTTTATAGTGTACAAGTCTATGAGTTCTGACAAGTACACATAGAACCACCAGACAATCAAGACAGAAGAGTTAGATCACTTCCCAAAATTCCTTCATGCGTCTTTAGTTGGCTCCATCCCCCAAGCTCAGCCTTTGACTTCCACTGATTTGTATAGTTTCTTTCTTTATAGTTTTGCATTTTTCATGTTGTGATATAAGTGGAATTATAAAATATAGAGTCTTTTGAGCCTGACTTACTTCATTTAGTGTAATTCACTTAAGTTTCATCATGTTGAATGTATCGGTAGTTCTTTCCTTATGGCGTAGTAGTGTTCTACTGAACGGAGGTACCACAGTTTGTTTATCAATTTAGTTGAAGGATGCTTGGCTTGTTTCCCCATTTTGGGAAGTCCAATCAATAAGGCTGCTATAAACATTTGCTTTAAGGTTTTGTGTACACATAAGGTTTCTTCATTTATCTTGAGTTCATATCTACGAACTAGGATTGTTGAGTTGTACGGTATGTGTGTGTTTAACTTCATAAGGAACTGGCAACCTGTTTTCCAAAATGACTATACTGTTCTGAATTTCCACCAGCAACAAATGAGAAGCCCACTTTTTCTGAATCCTTGGCAACACTAGGACTGTCTCTTTTCTTTCTTTCTTTCTTTCTTTTTCTTTCTTTCTTTTTCTTTCTTTTGCCATTGTAATATGTATGCAGTCAGTATCATTTTTTTTTAATTGCACAACTATAAACTTAGAGGTCTGATGGGTATGGATAGTAAGGATGTAATGTGTAACAGAGCAACTTTTGCAGCTGCAGTTTTTTTTTTTTTTTTAACCAAAAGAGTGAGATCTTATAATCCTTGTTGAGAGCTAGATAAAGTAAATTTAAGACTATAATCTCCCAGTCCTTGCTTGAAGGCTTTTATAGACTCTAAGGTTAAAGAATTTCCTCATTAAATCCTGGAAACCTTGAAATCTAGAACTCCTACATTCAGGGGGAGTCTTGTAGAATGCTTCTTTAGAAGGGTAATCCATGAGAGTCTCTATTCAAAATATCAGTGACCTCTGAGGGATGAAGTTTTTGGCCCCGAAATTCCAACCTCAGTGATGCTATTAAAAAAAAAAAATCAAAAGTAGCAGTTGATTTTTGCTAAGAGTACAGCAAAGTGAAATAATGATTTTGTTGCCACTGAAACCCATTTTCCTAATCTATCCTCACATCAGTGAAGTAATCCATCAAAAGCATCTTGTTTTTTTTTCCATTCTGTGGCTGGCCACTCTGGCCTTTCACTTACCAGTGAGACAGGAAGGAAGAAACATGATTTGAAAATCTGCTGATGAATTTGAGCGTTAGGTAGTGTGTAAACTCTATAAGGTAAAGTGTGAGCAGAGATGGCTGTGTCACTGATTTAAGTACCGAGAAGCTGCCCTTTGAAAGATCTGTAGAAAGACCTGATTTGTGAAACTCTGATCTTGCCCACTATCATTTTATAATTGTTCGATGAAGGGCCCTGAAGGACTCAAAATCTCAGTGCTTTTCAGATTCTACAGTAGTATATCACAGAGCTCCAATATCTCCCTGATTGAATCTAGAAAACATTCCTATCCTCAGCTGGACACAAATCACAAATTGTCTACTTTCTTCTCTTTTCAGGGAGAAAATATTTAGCTTAGTTTACACATGAGTCCACGGACTTCTTCCTAGAGCAAATTACATAGAACTCTCTAGGAGCTGACCCTATTCTCTTGAATGACGAGACAAATGTGATTTGTGTACACATAACATCAGCCACCTTTATAAAGCTTGTTGCTATCATTTTGCCTTTCCCTCAAAGAGCTTTAACATTGCATTAAAAAAGAAAGAAAGAAAGAAAGAAAGAAAGAAAGAAAGAAAGAAAGAAAGAAAGAGAAAGAAAGAAAAAGAAAAACAACGACAAAAAATAATGCCCATGGCTTTTCTCCCCCTGTTGGTTAAACATACCATTACACTCATCCCGACATAAGAGATTTTGTGCAGCCAATTTTATAAGATGACTCAAAGTTGTCATTTTGTTCAGAACGATTTATTTCTCTTAGTGGCATCAAATGCTATAAATCTCCTGGACGCTCCTGTTCACAGTTGGTGGAAAAACACGAGGGTGGAACTCTGTCTTTCCCAGAGGTGCTTGGTAGCATTTGATTCGAAGCGAGGCATGCAGCAGCTTCATGAATCTTCTTTTTTTGTTTTCTGTTTGCAGATTTTATTCTTCACCGTACAGTATTGCAACCAACCGCATGATTCCACAGACATCTATCACGCCATTCATTGCTGCTTCCCCTGTCTCCACATACCAGGTATGTCCGATTTACCTGCACCCGAGGAGAGGTCTTTCTGGCCAATAATAGATGATATCAAGGCAAAAGGGACACAGTAGAATTTTTTTTTTTAAATTGTCCTCAAACACATTAGTCACATCTTAATTAAATAGTTCTCAAAGTTCTAGCCCACACTTTGAAGGGCTCGTTTGCATCTATTTCACGGAATAAGAAAGTCCACCATGCTCTTCATTCTTCCTGCTGAGTTTTTATGATTATGCTCCTTTCCAGCCAACATTAGTGCAGCCTCCTTGCCACTGAGAATTTACTTTGTTGGTTGTCGGTGATTTGGATTGTCACGTTCCCTACTGTGTCTTCTCTACAAGCACACATCTGGCATTCCCCTCACTCACTCCAAGATATTTTATCGTTGTCATCTCATTTTGTCACAGTTGTCCTGTGTGTCCATGCAAAGCTACATGGACAGATGTTAAATCATTTTCCCCAAGAATTAGGGAGGACTCTCAAAGTGGTAAAACATTATTCCTACTTTCTGCTCTTACGTCATTCTCAGCCCCGAAGAGGTCAGAAAAGACCTCACGGGTTCCACATGTTGAAAAACAAAACAAAACAAAACAAAAAAGCCAATATTCAGTGTGTGTCCTAAAGCAGATGTTGTAGCCAGTTAATTCTAAGTACACAGGTGGATTTAACGTAGTCATAACTTCTCCCTAAAAAAATACTCCTCGTCTTATTCCTTTGAGTTATCGAATGTGCTATTACTCCCTGCTTCTCTTTATCTCATATTGTTCTTCAGACAATTCTTCTAATTCTAATTAGACAGTGCCTGTAGATGCTACATATAGAGGGTTCCTCGTGTCACTCTTCAAAACTTTGGAGAGAGAAAGAGTGAGAGAGTGTACGTGTGTGCTTGCATGTGTTTCTCTGTATTTTGCAGATGGTGGGGGTGGATGTTTTATGATGGGTAAAACTGTAATGTCGCTGACTGCTACTAATTCAGTGAAGTTTCACCTTATTCAACCATTGCATACTTCATTTCAGGATGTCCCAACTGTCAGAGCATCAAACTTGAGACTATATACATTTTTTCCTAACTGATCCCCCCCGAAGCAGATCATTTTCATTCTTTTTCTGCACTTAGATTCTTGATACATGTTGGTGGATAAATGGAATAGACTTTCATGGGAATTGCATTTGAGGGTCTCAGAGTGGATGATTTCTTAATTGCCTTTTCTTGGGACCCATGAGGCTACGTGCAGGTGCTGTTCCGTTTTTGTTCTTCCCGCAGGCCTGCCTGGTTGTAATGTGTGTTTTTGTGTTTTTTGTGTGTGTGTGTTTTTTTTTTACCCATTTAAAAAAAAAAAAAACCTTGGCCTGTGTTTCGGCCAAGACCACCCAATGAGCCCCAGTGTAGAGAACTTTGGTGACATGAATAACATATCCACAGAAAAGTGATTTCACTTGGGAGGGCTCATAAGTGGAACTTAACTCTAGCTCCCTTTTCTCCAAAAAAGAATCAGAGCAATTTCCTCTGTTGTTGATTCTCACCTTTCACCACTTTCTTTTTTCTTTTTCCTTTTTTTTTTTTAACCTAAAGTGCATCGGCGATTTTGTTAGTGTGAGCGTATTGAAAATAAAGTGATCAGGGTTCTCTATGTGACAATCAGCCCTTACAAGCTGACTTTCTCATTTGGCTGACAAGGCACATTTCTGAACATTTGGTTGGCTCAAATTCTCATTTTTATTGGCCATACCAATTACCATGAAAGAAAAAAAATCACAAGCTTGCTTAACTTGGGTTTAACCCAAATCATTCCCCCCGAATTTCCGACTGATCTCTTTAATTCTTCCCCAACTTTTACCACTTGGACTTATTTCCAAGATGGGATCACTTGAGAATTTGAAATTAGAACGAATGACAGAAAAAGAGGAAGTCTCAGCTGTCAACTCTACATGACTTACGTCTATCCCTGGGAGTTGACCTCTAAGTAGGAGGTCCCTGAGGCTTTCTAAGACTCTAGCCTCTGACACCAAGCTCAGATTATGCTCCAAGGCCCACCCGGGTCCATGCAGGCACTGCAGCCAGCACTGGTGATATAGGAATTTGCTTTACATTTTACCGCGTTTTGGGACCAAATTAATCAGGTCTGAGAACTTCCTTTCTATCCTTAGTTCTGAGCACTAATTAGCTGTACAGTCAGATGGACTCCACTTTCTTATGACCTAGTGTGACTCCACTGAACGCAAGAACCAAGTTCTCTCTGTGATTGCTTTGTGCTAATAAATGCTGTTTGATGCATAGGTCCAGAGTACTTCATGGATGCCTCATCCGCCATACGTTATGCAACCAACAGTAAGTGTTCTCAGTCACCTGAGGCTAAATATTTCTATTATCCAAGTGCAAGCTTTTGTAATGCATAGAAGCTTTGGGGTAAAGCTTTTGTTATATTCCATACCTCTTTCAGGCAGCCATATTTTCCAGATGAAAAGCTGTTCCTGAAATTCTACAAAAGCATGTACAATAGATAGATGGCAGAATTAGAAAGAGAGAGAGATGAGAAATGAGACAGAGAACAAACCTTGGAGGAAGTAGCAGTCAACCTCCTAAGCTGATGTCTACCATTTGTTATGAATGGGAAATTTCTACTTCGTGCAGGAATTCTGAACTCTGGACAATTAAATCCATTTATAGGGGGAAAGTCTTCCTGTTTTACTTCTCCTGTTATCTCTGTTCTCTTTGGATGCAGTTTGATGTGCTCTGGGTGCAATTTTCAGTATTATGGCCAAGCATTGACTCAAAGCAATATATCTGAAACATGAAGATAGTTGCATACTAATAGATGAAGATATATATGTATATATAGCAAGGTTGCTAGATACTTTTTTTAGGTTAACTAATTAGAGCCATTCTCTTCTTCTTAAGTGGAAAAATCTCTTCTAAAAATATTCAAACTCTATTTTCTACTTGCTGTATTTCCCATTTTGTGGCATGATATTATATAAATCCCAAGAGAAAATATTACATATTTCATTAGAATATAGACTGAAGGCTAATTATTCCATTTATCTTTGTCTAAGTCTTCCAGGTTTTCTAGCTCTGTAGAAGGATAAGATAGAGTGATTTCAATAGCAATATATTTATGAAAATGGGAAGTAGGAGGTAGAGCACTAGACAGAAGGTCATGTGACAAGGTCTGTGGCATACTCTACGGACATGCTTTCATCTGTGCCTTTGTTTCCTTTTCTGTCACTATATTAATGGGACTACTGGAAGGATTGAGAGCATATGTGAAAATAGTTTTTAAAGTATGACATGCTATACATCATTATTGATATTTTCCTTCTTAATATGGAATGTATTAGTTGTACAAAGAAAAAGCAATACTACATTTTAACCCATTTAAAAGCTTAATATCAATAAAGTAGCACACATTAAAGACCATGGAACTAAATTCAGAGACATCCATTTCTTGGAGTCAAAGGATCATAGCACCTCCTTTTCATATTTGAGCTTTGTCCATTTTTTAAAAAAAATAAGGAACATTCTGCATTGCTCTTAATGTGTTGAGTTTGTTTTTTAATTAAAAAATTAAATATATATTGCTTAGTACAGCAGAACTTTAGACCATATTTTTCAAATTCCTCTATTCTTATTTACACACCTTGGGGGCTTCCTGAGTCCATCTGGTCTAAGTTCTGTAAATCATACCAACATACAATGAATCCAGGTTACCCTTTCATATCCAAGTCACGAGATAAAATACAATATACACTTCCAGACTAACAGACTAATATATAGCACAGTCTGAGCCAACACAGGGAAAGGGAATTTCGGCCAAGTTCTAAAATGGAGACTTTCTAGAAGGAAGCAACTACCTTATAAAAAAATAGTATCTTCATCTACAGAACACGAATACTAACTTAGTCCTCAAACCTGAGATGATGGATCACCTCATTGTGGCCAAAGGGAATGTACATCTGTCAAAATCCAAATATTCTCCCAGATGTCAAAATATGTAAGATACTACCAGTATTTCTAGAACTGTGATCAAAAAGGAAGATGTTTGTGTGTGTCTTTAATTCAGCTGTCACTCGAGACATTAGCAAAATTTTCTTTCTCTTGTTCTCCATCCCAGCATGGCTTCAGCCCCATTTTTGGGTGTATTATTTCTCATACATGTTCTTCCAGCAATAGCTGTGTGTGTGTGTGTGTGTGTGTGTGTGTGTGTGTGTGTGTGTGTGAATTTATCACCTCGGATATTCCTTGCTATGGCTATTACTCACTGATATCTTATCACTTCCCGTGACTAGACAGTGCATCATGTTTGAGTCTAGGTTACTGGGTTTAAAATATAATATTTGTGGCTGGGGCAGATTCCTGGAAAAAGGAGTGCCTGGGCCACCCACCACTTTGTTGTCTTTAACATGGAGGAATTGGCTAAACAGTGTCATGGAAACAGAGTTTGTGCTATCAATCTTTTCCCTGTAACAGTCTCACTAGTTGTCTATATTGCATAAATAACCAAAATGGGAGTTAAAGTAATCACTGTATGATTAATAAATACAAAATAAATAATAAATGATAAAATACAAAAATACTTAAGCAATGTAAAGCAGATAAAACAACTACCTGGGTCTGAGAAGAATGAATGAATAACATGATGATTAATAGCCTGAGTAGTTGGTTAGGCTCTTTGAGATAGGAAACCTTTCTCTGTTATGGAACTCTGGGCAATTAAACTTTCTGAGTCACAGTTTCCTCCTCTGTAATGTAGGCTGACTAATGCCTAAATAATTATGCACTTTACTCATTAAAGGAAAGAAGGTATTAAAGCTCCTAAAATTGAGCCTGGCAAATAGCAAGCACTCAGCAAATTACTATTATTATTATTTAGTTATATGAGTACACTGAACATTATACTTCAGATTAGCCCAATTACAGAAAATGAGGGTTGGTATAGAAGAAAGTTGAGAATAAGCAATAGTCACCTGTTTCTACCACATTCATATTATTTATTTAACTTACTTTGTTAATGATTTTTTATAGCTATAAATAAGACAAATTGCTTAGATTGGTACATTTTCCATTTATTTACTAAACCATTAATACCTAAGCCAGGAAAAAAAGGCCTATTGGGTACTTCCTTTATGTTAGTAACTAGAACCTACTTTACAAATAAATTCAAGGTGTCGCTATCTACATATCTCAAAGACATTGCCCATAATTCTGATTTGCTTATACCTGTTCTCCTCTCATGTTTTCTTTGCCGCCATTTTGAGAAAATCTCATGTATAAGCTCCAAGTATAAATATGTTTCTCCCCCATCACTGTGAATTTATACTGACCCCTGCACTGGAGTCAGAAGCCCTTCAGGCTTGACCCAAAGGACTCCAAGGTATCAACTAGTCTAGTATCCAAAGAGACTTCCAGAAGGTGTTAAATTAGAACACTGCGCCTCTAGTTTTTACCAGGATAGATGAATGGTTAAAATGGGGGTGGGGGGAGGAGACAGGTAATGATTAGCAAGAAATGAAATGATACGAAGAAGGAAAAAGAAGTAAGCAAGGGACAAGAGAACAGACAGAATAAGCATAAAGTTAGCATGTACCATTTAAGTTTGTTTCTTTAGATATTTAATTTTCTAAGTTGTGTTGTATTATATTTTCTTGTAGATTTAGGAAAAGTTTCCGAGAGCCCTTACTCTTTCTTTTTCTTTCTTTCTTTCTTTCTTTCTTTCTTTCTTGCTTGCTTGCTTGCTTGCTTTCGAGAGGGAGAGAAGGAGGGGAGGGGCAGAGGGAGAGGGAGAAAGAGAGAGAATCTTAAGCAGGCTACACACCCAGTGCTGAGCCCCATATGACACTCCATCTCACGACCCTGAGATCATGACCTGAACTGAAATCAAGAGTCCTACACTTAACTGACTGAGCCACCCAAGCACCCTGAGGGGCTTTTACTCTTAAGGGAGAGGGGATAAAACCTCCCTGGCTGCATTATAACTATCATCCTGGTATCTGTGCAAGAAAACAGTTCTCAGTCAGTTAGTGGACTCTGGGACCTTATTGGGTCCCCTGGAAGGTTGTCAGGCCCCACTTAGGACAGCAAGAACATTTCTGTTCACACTATGTCATTGTTCCCTGAACAGACACAGGGAAAAGAAAGCTCATGACTTTAGACTCACTTTGTGCTGTGAGGAAGTAAAAATGCTGACTTTGTCAGTGCGATCAGTTACTCATTGCCACTTCTCAGTGCAGGCTTCTGTACTGTACTTTGAAATACCCCATCACACTGACAGAATTTTAATAGACGATGGATTGCACCAAATATCTACTCTGCATAACATCATGTTACATTGGAATTTTATATGAAGGCACAATTGAAACTCCTGTGTTGCAATACATTGGATATTTTGTTAAATCTGTGCTGACAAAGTGAAACGATGATAGTTCCCAAGAAGAAGCATCGTCCTATTCCCTTAAATTGTATTTAGGCTCATTTGAATCCTAAATCTTTTGTTCTTCATATGGTTAGCATTATATTATCTCAAGGAGAAAGGTCAGCTTTCATTTTTACTTAATTACAAATTGGTTATCTAATTACAGTAGCCTAAGAATTGCAAGATGCCCTATTGAATCATTGGATGGTTTGTTGCCATGCATGGCTAAATTATGACTTTTATGATTAATAAACTTTAAGTTTATAGCTAAAGAGTAAATATAAACTCCTGGTCTACAACAAGGCTGTTCAGGAAAGCTCCAGAATATTTGATTTGGTCATTCCTTATCAGCAAACAGACAAAACCTAAGGCTCAGTTTTAGAGGTTGTATCCTACAAATTTATAGGTGTGTTTTCTGTAAAAGCACATCACCTAATGTGGAAAGAATATTGAAATTATTTGAATTCTATTTAGAAAGCAAGGTTTTCAGATATAATCCTTTTACTCCAGTGCTTGAGCTGAACAAAAATCCCAAATCTCATAGTTTCATTAGCAAAGTAATAAAGTCAAAATGCTTTGGCTATCAAAGGAGTTAACTTGGTAAACATACATCTACAGGCCAAATCTTTGTTTTAACTACATATCAAAAACAAAAAGACAGTGACTCTAACCCACTTATTCTCTTTCTACTGGAAGAGAATTCAAACGAGTAAGAATAACCTTAGGAGGAGCATCTTCTTGAGAACATCACCTTCTTTTAGGGGTGCCTGGGTGAGTCAGTCATTAAGCATCTGCCTCCAGCTCAGGTCATGATCCCATGGTCCTGGGATCGAGCCCTGCACCGGGTTCTCTGCTTAGTGGGGAATCTGCTTGTCCCTCTCCCACTCCCTCTGCTTGTGTTGCCTCTCTCGCTCTCTCTCTCTGTCAAATAAGTGAACAAATTTTTTTTTTAAAAAATCACCTCCTTTTAAATATACTACTGGGATAAAGTGAATAT